TGTTCAAATAAAAGCCCTGGGGTCAAAATTGGCCCCGCCCGGGGGGTCATTGATTTTCCCTTTATGCATATAGTAAAAACTTAAAAAATCTTCTTTTAAAGAACTGTAAGAGCTAGAACTTAGATATTTGGCATGAAACATCTTCGAGTGCATGTCTACCAAGTTTTTTTCAAATAAAAGCCCTGGGGTCAAAATTGGCCCCGCCCCAGGGGGTCATTGATTTTCCCTATATGCATATTGTAAAAACTTAAAAAATCTTCTTTTAAAGAACCCAAAGAGCTAGAGCTAAGATATTTAGCATGAAACATTTTCTAATGAGTGTCTACCAAGTTTGTTCAAATAAAAGCCCTGGGGTCAAAATTGGCCCTGCCCCAGGGGGTCATAGATTTTCCCTATATGCATATAGTAAAAACTTAAAAAATCTTCTTTTAAAGAACCCAAAGAGCTAGAGCTTAGATATTTGGCATGAAACATCTTCTAGTGAATGTCTACCAAGTTTGTTCAAATAAAAGCCCTGGGGTCAAAATTGGCCCCGCCCCAGGGGGTCATTGATTTTCCCTATATGCATATAGTAAAAACTTTAAAAAATCTTCTTTTAAAGAACCGTAAGAGCTAGAGCTAAGATATTTAGCATGACACATGTTCTAATGGGTGTCTACCAAGTATGTTCAAATAAAAGCCTTGGGGTCAAAACTGGCCCCGCCCCAGGGGGTCATTGATTTTCCTTATATGTGTATAGCAAAAACTTAAAAATCTTCTTTGAAAAAACCCAAGTAGCTAGAACTTAGATGTTTAGCATGAAACATCTTCTTATGGATGTCTACCAAGTCTGTTCAAATAAACAAATAAAAGCCCTTGGGTAAAAATTGGCCCGGGGGGGATGGGGGGGGGGCTGTATACAGGTGAGCGACCTCAGGGCCATCATGGCCCTCTTGTTTCAATAATAATATTTAAATTTTAAATGAGTCCAAAGGTATGTATGTTGATTATCAATTTATGTTTATTTTATCTCTAAGCAAGCCATCACTTAAAAAATATTCTCTTTATCTATAGTATTTCACGTACATGAAAATAGTTCGCTGATTTTGATCAGATAGACAGCAAGTCTAGGTAACAGCTTTTGACAGCATGTATACACAGATTTTAGAGCTGTTATTGATTCAGTGCAACAGAGAATATACATTGAATATTTATTTCAACGTTATTTTTGGTTATACAACGGAATTATCGATAGTAAACTTTGAATTGTTCCGTGGTTATACACTTGGTAAAAAATTTGGTGTTTTTCACAACCCAAGTCCTTTAAAGACAGAAGGCTCAGTTCTCTTTATTCGTGTTGCCAAAAGTGATTCCACGTATCGCATTCTAGTGCTATTTGCTGAATGTAAAAGAAATGCGATCGAGTATTACCGGCACACAGACCCGATCGAAAATATTGTGGGTTGGGAAACTTATGTTAATTCACCAACTTTAGTTTTTGCATATTATTATGCTCATTAGCAGTATAAACGTTGTTACATTAATTATATCTTAACCAATTTTGCATTACTTGAATATCCTGTACTAGAATACGTTTTAACAAAATCCGACGATATTTAAAGTCAACGTACTGTAATGCAGTTGATGTATGTGAAATCTATAACAGTTTTATATAATCTGAAATATTTTTGTACCAGCAAGAGTTACCCCTCTTTATATTCTGCTTTCGTGAAAATTGGCCCGCCTATTAATTTCAGTCTATTTCCGTGATAATTCCATATATGGAATTTGCAAAATCGTTTACAAATGGAAATCGCGTTAGAATGTAAAAGGAAAGTTTGGTGTTGTCAACCTGAGAGAGTCAACTAATGCAGTAACATTCTCAACGCCATGATGAACAGCATGAAAACGAGATGTGTACGTTCTATCGGTTACATTTCTATATGTCGCAAATTGAAGTTATACATTTCTAAATACAGTTTGCAATTTATCTAAGTTGCATGTTTACAGCTTCCATTTATTCAAATCGAGATAATCAAAATGCCTAATACCAGTGCAGTATGTAACTCTCGGGTTGACAATTAGATTTTTACGAACCGAAGTATGCATTGTCAAGTTTCAAAGGCTGGATTTTTGGCAACGAATAGCCTCCATAAATCGGGCTACCCGGGTTCGATACCCGCACAGTGCATGTCACTTTTGTTGCGAATTTGCTTTTCGTTTATTTTTCTTACTATTTCTGGGTTTTTTTATTATCCGACATGAATACTGCAATCAGACTAAAAGCTCATCACAAAATATTCAATATATGAGCCGTGTCATGGCAAAACCAACGGAATGCGTTTGCGACCAGCATGGACCCGGACCAGCCTGCGCTTCCGCGCAGTCTGATCAGGATTCATGCTGTTCGCTATCAGTTTCTCTACTTGTAATAAGGTTTGTGAGCGAACAGCATGGATCCTGATCAGACTGCGCGGATGAGCAGGCTGGTCTGGATCCATGCTGGTCGCAAACCCATTATGTTGGTTTTGTCATGACACAGCTCAATTATTATCCTTTATCCATCCACCTCTTTGTCTTGTACAACATCATCAATATTCGATCTAGAAGGAATTATTAATCATGATTTAGCTTTGATAAACTTAAATTTTAGTCTAAGAAATGGCTTGTGGATTTTAATCCTAACAAAACAAAAGCGATTGTTTTAACTTTACAATCCAACGTTAACAAAACAAACTTACAATTTGATGGCATACCAGTAAAATTTGTAGAAAGTCATTAACATTTAGGTTTAACTTTTAGTTCTGATGGAAAATGGCACGATCATATTAAGAATATAACATCATCGGCTTCTAAATTACTAGTTACAATGAGAAAACTGAAATATTCCCTTAATATGGAAACCCTAAACCAAATTTATATTTCATTTCTTAGACCTCTTAGAATATGCCTCTGTATGGATGGGTGTACAAATTATGAAAAAGATACGTTAGATAAAATACAGCATGAGGCAGCCAGAATCGTAAGCAGTCTAACCCGTTCAGTTTCTCTAAAGAAATTAATTGGCTCTCACTATCTGATAGAAGAACGTACCAAAAACTTATTGTAGCATATAGAATTCATAATGGAGACGTTTCTGATTATTTAAGTAATATTTTTCAAGAAAGAGTTCATAATACAACACCATACAATCTTAGAATTTCAGAAGACTTTGCAACCAACTTTAAACAGACGAACTCCTAGCTATATTTTCATTCGTCCGTGATGCTAAACAACCTGAAACAAGATCTGTAGAGACTGTCACATTTTAAATCTCTATTAAAGAAATCAACTTTTCGATCTACAGACACTTCAAAATGGTACCTAACAGGTGAAAGAAAACTCTCTGTTTCACACTGCAGACTGAGAAATGCAAGCAGTAACTTAAATTTCCCTTTATTCTACAATCATTTGTCACAGGATGCAAATTGTTCATGCGGTTATGAGATAGAAGATGTTAACCATTTCTTGTTCACTTGTTCGAAATGAGAGAATTGATCTTTTTAACGAATTAAAGTACACACTGGCCATAGCTTTCGCATAAGCGGCGGGTCCATCACAGCGGAGTGTTCATCGCAGAAGCGGTGGATAAAATATGGCGGTTTGCTGTTGTCGGTATAAGTATAATTATGACTGAATTGTTTTAATGTTTAACTGGAATTACTTAGTGAGACTGGAGCCCACATATGTACTCTTTCAACTTATAACACGCAAACGGTGCAATTCATTGCCGTTTATGCAAACACTTCTGTACAGTTTGACGAGGGGGCACCACTTTTGCCCAATTTTGGTTAAAACAGGTACAAATGTGTGCAAAACGACCACATAATACAACGGCATCACATCGTATGAATAATACTTTCACAAAATAACCATATTTTGGAAATTATTATTGTCTGTTTATTAAATAAATAACAAAAATGATTTCAACGCAGACGGCGGTGGATTCGATTGCAACGCAGTGCGGTGGGCCCGATACCATTAAATGGTTGTACATTTTATTTTTTGCATTGCGGCATATGAGTTATACAAACATAAAGTCAACACATGTTCATGGCGTTTTCGAGAGTATCATATTAGTTATAAAGATTTTGATAGGCTATACAATATGGTCATATATAAACTGTTGTTGAAATATTGCAAACAACTGTTTATATACAAAATTCAGTCATATACTTACCGACAACAGCAAACCGCCATATTTTATCCACCGCTTCTGCGACGAATACCCCACCGCCGCTGTGATGGACCCACCGCTTCTGCGAAAGCTATGGCCAGTGTGAGGTAATTTCCCCCTTTAAGTGTCCAATTACTTTTAGTTGGTAACATAGAGTTGTCTTTAGAAAATGATAATAAAATATTTTTGACTGTTCAGCATTTCATATAAAGCAAACGCTTTTGATTTGAAAATCAAACCAGCACAATCCCTATAAATATTAATGTATTTTTCTTTCATTTTTGCAAAACAACAGACAAGATTCTTAACTTTCTTCTTCTTCTTTTTGCCTTCTTTATTTCATTTTGCATTCTGTTTGTTTTTGTTATATTTGGCAAATGTACATGTTAACGCAAATTATAAAAAGTCAGTTAACGTCGTTAAATTCAAGCTAGAGAACATGTAGACCCAATCATTTTTATTGTTCTTTCTTACCTAAAATCATTTTTAAAGCCAAAGTACTATATGAGCCGTGTCACGACAAAACCAACACAATGCGTTTGCGACCAGCATGGATCCAGACCAGCCTGCGCATCCGCGCAGTCTGATCAGGATCCATGCTGTTCGCTTACAAACCCTATTACAAGTAGAGAATCTGATAGTGAACAGCATGGATCCTGATCAGACTTCGCGGATGTGCAGGCTGGTCTGGATCCATGCTGGTCGCAAACCCACTATGTTGGTTTTATCGTGACACGGCTCATATAGGTGTAAGTTATGTTACTTCTATCTAACTTATAGTCATTCTTGTAAAATATGTTATTGTAATTGATTGCATCAGGGAAGACCCGTTGCTAATGTTGAGAGAACCTTATGTCATCCTACATATATGTCTTATTTATTGGCAATAGAAATGTTTAAATCAATGAATCCATTTTAAATCAATTTTATTTTGCGTACATACCTTACTTGATCACGTGACTTTTCACACTACCGTCAGTTGTCGTCAGTGACAAATATTACACGGTTCATTGTCCCGGATATATATATATGATTGAATCAGATGAATAATGGCTACTTACCCTTCCGTAAAGATGAAATAAAAGTTAAAGAAAAGTTTACTTCCTATATAAATACTTTAAACCTTTCGCGAATATATACACAATGTATCACAAAATGGACATTGCACTAAAGGTAATTTTTCCTAGTCTTTTTTAATCTCGTATTTGACTATCTTTGAAATTGTTTTAGAATAAATTGGAATGTTATAAATATCAAATGTATATAAGAGAATATACTTTATTTTAATGCACGATTGTGAAGTCTGTAACAAAGGAATAGGAAACAATGCGGTAAATATATTTAACGGTCCATTTAAACTGTTTTCATGTTCTCCATGCATTCGTCATTTTTATACATCTTTTGAAGACGTTGGGGTTGACAGCCAAGCGTTTGTACAGCACAAAGATATAAAAAAAGAAATGTTTCAATTAAAGCATAGTTGACCTATAACTATAGTAAGATGCGTCCATTTGCTGTATTTTAGACTTTACAGTTATATCTGTAGTATAAAAATTCGATCTAGGCACCAGCTTTTAGACTTTACAGTTATATCTTTAGTATAAAAATTCGATCTAGGCACCAGCTCACAACATACAAACAATATTTGTCTGAATTCGTTTCTGTTTTGTAATTAAAAGAAATGCCTTTGACGCAAAACAAATTGAAGATGATGTTAGCGCGGCTTTGTTCAAAATATTATTATATAAGTCTTGACTGTGTGGTGTGCGGTGGTCTTCCAATGACATAAAACATATATGTAGTGATGACCTTAGCTGTACTCTATCCACGGTTTTTGGTCCATATTAAAAATAAAATATAAAGAAATGTAAACAAACTATTTAGTACATTACGACTGATATTAGATAAACACAAGGTATTTAGATAAGTCACAAGCCGCTTTTTTCGTCGTCATATCAATGGCGATAATTTTTCGGCTAAAGAGTATAATCAACAACATAAGCAACCATCAAATATTGCATGTATATAGTCATGAACTTAAAGAAAAGTCACACCGGGAAATATGAATATACAAAGCTTAGTGCTGAAAGTAATAAAGGAAATCATAGGAAGTAGGTAATAAACTACTTGCAAAGTTCAATAAGAAACTGATAAATGTAGTAAATTGAAATCATTGAAAATATGATTTTCAGTTTCTGTCATAATTTTTTATGTAGATAATTATAGATCAGAGTAAATAATTTTTGCAATAAATATCTTATATCATAGTAATTGAACCTGTAAATTGTTGACCATGCCTCACTACCAAGGGAAAAACAAAACGTACAATGTTTATGCTTTGTTTTCAATTTCAAATCTATCCGTGCATTCATTATCGTATTTTCACTTTTTATTTATTTATTTTTCTTATTAATATTCACGCCGTTTCAACAGTTAGAATGGTTGAATGTTCGGTGAGCATATCCCCTGGGTCACATTTGTTTTGTTTCCCGTATCTTCCTTTTTTAGTTTTGCATGCCCTTGGCGAATTTTGCCTTCATTTTTATAAACCAGAATATCATTTAATCATATAAATCGAAAAAGCACGGGAATATTTTAGATAAAATTAATTAGGATATATAAAACATTATGCAAATGTGATGTTACTTAAAGTAATCACAATTAACGTATCAAAACAAACAATCACTTGCGAGAAACTGCTGCAAGGCTTATTTAATCTATTCCGATATTTATATTATTTTGTATGTTGATGTATTACTTAAAGATAAATACATTACGTTAATATATTTATTCGGATTTTACTCGCGAGTAGTATTTCGAACCATTTGTTTTACTTTGCCCTAATTACAATATCGTAAAAAGAAAACTATATTTATAAATGTCTGAAATCTAGATAAAAAAAGTTATGCAAAGAACCGAAATGAAAAGAACAGTTTTGTAAATTGTCGATTAAGTTGGTGGCGTTGCTTTTAATGGCTTTTATATTGTTTTCTTATATATTTCTTAATTTTTGTTAAACCCTTTTTATGTATCAATTTAAGACTATAATGACAATGTGCTTGTATTTTTTGTTTATTTATTTATTTTTCGTAAACATAGATGTTATGAGCGAACATAACAAGGCTGCTATACTGTCAACTTTAGACTGTGTTTGGCTGCAAAGACAGTCTCTTTCATGATACCCCCCCCCCCCCCACTAATAACAACCTGCTATTTTGAGTGGGGACGGGGGGAAATAGTAACGCCGTCCGGTATTGCAGAGCGCCCAACAATATGATTTGACGAAACCTGAAAATCTTGCCAGTTTGCTAGTACTTTATTAACAGCACAAGAAAAAATATACACGTATATAAAATGATTTAATTCACTGAAAAGTCTACAAACTTATATAAATATACATGTACAATGTATCACAAAATGGACACACAAATGTAGTAATTGTATTTCTACATTTCCAGATTATAACGGGTCTTCTGCTCAATTTGCCTTATGGTATGTATTATTTCTTTGTTTTGATTGTTATAACATACAACGTTATTGAATTACTATAGATATTATGCATATCAGCAAACTTTGAACGATATAAAATGATTTTTCACTAATCACTGTGTCATGATATTTGTTTACTGGTTAACCATTAACATGCTGTATCATAAAGAGACAAGTCTTTTATTGGTTAACCACGCTGTAGCATAAAGAGATTAGCCTTTTACTGGTTAACCATTATCATGCTGTATCATAAAGAGATTGGCCTTACACTGGTTAACCATTACCATGCTATATACTAAAGAGATTGGCCTTTTACTGGTTAACAATTTCCACGCTGTATCATAAAGAGATAAACCTTTTACTGGTTAACCGTTACCATACTGTATCATAAAGAGATTAGCATTATAATTGATAACGATTGCCATGCCGTATAATAAAGAGATAAGCATTTAACTGGATCACGATTGCCATATGCTGTATCATAAAGAGATTAGCATTTAACTAGATCACGATTGCCATGTTGTATCATAAAGAGTTAGCCTTTTACTGGATCACGATTGCCTTGCTGTATTATAAAGAGATTAGCCTTTTACTGGAGCACGATTGCCATGCCGTATAATAATGAGATAAGCCTTTTACTGGATCACGACTGCCATGCTGTATCATAAAGAGTTAGCCTTTTACTGGATCACGATTGCCATGCTGTATCATAAAGAGATAAGCCTTTTACTTGATAACGATTGCCATGCTGTATCATAAAGAGATTAGCCTTTTACTGGGTCACGATTGCCATGCTGTATCATAAAGAGATAAGCCTTTTACTGGATCACGATTGCCATGTTGTATCATAAAGAGATAAGCCTTTTACTGGATCACGATTGCCATGCTGTATCATAAAGACATAAGCCTTTTACTGGATCACGATTGCCATGTTGTATCATAAAGAGATTAGCCTTTGCCATCAGTATAAAGCCAGGCAGGCTTGCGTGTATGTCCAGTTTGACTAGGCTCTAGGTAGCCGACATCATGTTAATTTTTTATCCTGTTATCTCCAACATCTACAAGTCCACTTAAGAAATTTAGCGGGTTAAGGGTTGTTTTTATCTGATAGTTTGGGATCATTGTTTCCAGCATATTTAGTGTTGAAGATTGAATAGCGCTTAAGACGGTGTTAGGGGGCGTGAATGATGTTACATTTTCCATTACCCCTCTTGATCAGACTCAACCAAATCGAGTCTACAATTTTCAGATCTTTTTGTTGTTTACATTACTTCAAAGGGACATTTTTAATAAACTTGCTTTGTTTTAGCATATATATGTAAGTGTTTTGAAATAATGATTTCATTTAGTACATGAATGCTATCAATTTGAGATATTTAGTCATACGAATTCCATAAATTAAGTAACTTCCAGATCAAATACATGTCGTTTCTCATAAATATTATGAAATTGTGATTGTGCAATAAACTCGCATAATAAAGCTCCCTGATCAATAAATCAATCGATCGATCGATCGATCAATCAATCAATCAATCAATCAATCAATCAAGGTTAACTTGTTTCCTTTCGTCGTATAATATATACCAGTGAAAATAGCAGAAGGGGATACAATAGAATACAATAACATAGTAATGTCATCTCACATAGTACAATAACTACAGTCTTAAAACTTACATAAATCATGTATATTAAATTTTTTTCATTGATATACAGTTTCGGCATGTGGAGATAACTACACTGAACTTACTGGAATTTTTACCTCCCCTGATTATGATACTAGAAATGCGTATCCACCTAACAGTGACTGTGAATGGACAATCTCGACACCAGAGGGCACTGACATAGTGCTCATTTTCCTTCACTTTGATATAAAATGTCCTGATTATATATCGGTAGGTGGTTTATTCTTGATATTTTCTCAGAAATATAAAAATGTGCACGTTTAACGTTTAAAAACGTTTTGCGTTTAGAAAGTGCATAAAACTGGGGTACTGTGTATTACTAATAAGAACATGTTAGGTGTAAGAAAACATTTTTTCCATGTTTTTGGTACTGTCGTATTATTTTACCCGTTATATTTGTGATATTAAAAAGAAACATGTGTTATGACCAAGTATAAACGGACATCACCTTATATAACCACTAGATGATGGTTATATAAAAACAACAACCGATTTTTCGTAGCCATATAACCAGTCAAATGCCTTTATAATTAACAAAATAGATCTATACTTACTACTACAGAACTACATTCCCTGATAGAAGTTAAAGTTTACAATAAATTGATCTGGCCATCGTTACGGCAGTACGATGATAATTATAGTTACAAAACATGCAATGTTATAAAGCATAAATACTTTTTCTGCTGGTGGAATCTTTTTTCAAGAAGACGTTCGGTTAGCTCAAAAAGTAGAATGTGAGACTGTGAATCCGATTCCAGGACAGCCCAGATTCACTTGATCATGAAATCCTTTCTACGGTCATTCGCACTATTCGTCTGCTCAGACATACATGTACAGGATCTATCAGTTTATTTTGAAAGCGAAGGCAGCTTGTACTAGTAAACGGCTCGACTGTAGTGGTTGAACTGTGCTTTGGTTAATTCATTGTGGCTTACAGCCGTAATCCAGAGACTAAACGATCAATATCACCGCCATTACCGTTACATGTCGCAACAACAACACACACATGTGTTGTCAAGAAACAAATATTCGCATTCTGTTACATTTTTTAGATGACAGACCTTTCCAACAACACGATGATGCCGATCCTCGACAAACAGTGTTTTTTGAATGAGGAAATATATTTTCTAGGCAACAAAATACACATCCACTTTGTAAGTGATGGATCCGGCCAGCGTAGGGGATTCAAGATAGTCTGGAAAGGTATTTTCTTGGTTTATTGTGAAATAAATGATTCTCTGGACGTAAATTTGTGTCTCATTTAATGTGATTCAAACAACTATTAGTAATCTTCTGTAAGCAAGTTGGATACCTTTCTCACATGACATAATAAATTATATCCTTTCTTTGATTCGAATTCATGTACAATGTTTACCCTTTATATGCACGAGCAGACTTCCTTACTAATAATGTAGCGAAAATAAAGCTTTTCCTTATGTTGTAGGGAAAATAATTATTTTCTGTACGAAGTAAACGGCAGTTTTCCTGTTCAAATATGTTAGAAGAAAGTGCACCTTTTCCTTTTGTGGTAGTAAAAATGATTTCTTTCCTAATGCTGTAGTGAAAAATAGTTCTTATTCTATAATGGCGCAGTGTAAAATAGTTTTTTTCCAGATACTGTTACTGTAGTAAAAATAGTTCTTTTTTCGAATGGCGTTATGTTAATTTCCTAATGTTGAAGAGAAAAATAGTTTGTTTTGTCCTAATGACGTAATACAAATATGTTATTTTCCTTATGTTGATGAGGAAAATAGCCCCTTTACTAAGTTCGAAATGTAAATTATTTGTTTTTCCTAAATTGTAGTGAAAAATATCCTAACATGGCACTCAGAATTTGTTTCTGTGCACGAGGCTCACGGAATATGCAGACGACAAGGTGGTAGCTTAGTAAAGGACATTGCGGAATACCAGGACGAAATTTTCGATATGATGCAAGAACGCCACGTTACGTCAATATGGCAGGCGAAGAATCAATATAAAACACCGTGGGTGTGGCTTAAAGGTTAGTTCAACTAAAAATTGTGACATTTGTCATTCAGACGATAATATAGCACGTAACTCGTCTGATATCTGTTATTGTTGTTACTAAGCAGTTAGCTTTGCGTTAAGCAATAAAATGTCCTGTGAATACAATCATTTGAATATAGTATTCACTGTTTTGGAAGTTGAAAATGTTAATTCTCTGAAGGTGTGTCTGAAGGATATAGTATGGGCCTCTATGCACTGAGTTATTTCCCCCTTATTGAATATCGACTAACAATAAACATAAATGAACATAATAATAAATATTACTTATCGAAACAATTATACAAGATATCCATGTTTGGTGGTGATAATATACACACACAGTCCTGTAATTTAGTTGAATACATTAAGCATCGAAGCAAACAAAACATAATACAATGCTTCTTGTAGGAAACAATCCGTGTTTTCTAATTCAATTTATTTCAGGGTGTTTTTCTTTTGCAAACCTTGACGATTTTGAAACATATGTAATTGTAAAAAACAATTCGATGGCAGAATGTCAGAGACTTTGTACAAGATGGAATTATTTCGGGCTTCAGGTATGTGCTTTTATTTTGTATAATAAAATTTGAGCCTTGTCACGACAAAACCAACATAATGGGTTTGCGACCAGCATAGATCCAGACCAGCCTGCGCATCCGCGCAGTCTAATCAGGATCCATGCTGTTCGCTATCAGTTTCTCTACTTGTAATAGAGTTGGTAAGCTGGTCTGGATCCATGCTGGTCGCAAACCCTTTATGTTGGTTTTGTCGTGACGCGGCTCATTTGTCGTGTCTCTAAATGGCAATATACTGGCAAGACTTAGAACAAGACAGTCATGTGGAAGTGATGTTAAATCATTTTTAAATAAGTCATTCTGAAGTTTGTTATTTTTATATGCAATTTCAAAAACGTTGTGGTTTATATGAATATAAACGAACAGTTTGATATAAGTTTTGTCTTTGTTTGTCTATGGCATTATAAAGAATTAATCATCTTACATGAAAGCGCTTAATACAAATGTGTGTTTTGTTTCATGTGAAGAATAAAGTCTAACCATGTGATTATTTTGTGAATTGAATTTCAGAGAGACAAGTGTTTCTGTATTGAGAGTTACACTGGTTCCCCTGTCATTATGGATCATTATTGTACAATTTCTTGTTCTGGCAATTACGAAGAGAGATGTGGCGGGAATCTGAGCCTTACTATATACATGAACGGTTAGTTCAAAATATTCCTTACAGTAGTCAAATGCTTAATATATAGGTCATCATTATTGTTATTGTTATTATTATTATTATTATATATCATCACCACCACCAACAACAACAACATCACAACCATCATTATATTTTCACTATTCTTATCATCAATCATGATTATTGCCAATATTTTTGTTGATCGATATATTCCTTCCTCTCCATTTAAAACTTTAAAACTTTCCCTACAGATATATGCTACACAAATTTAAGTGCTTGGCAAGGGACTGTATCGAGAACAAAGGAAGGTAACACCTGTTTGCCATGGAATAACATCACTGCAATAATTCACGATAATACTACGGTATTTCCGGACGGGTCGGCACAGAATGCATCCAATTTTTGTAGGAACCCAAATGGTTCCGAAGCTCTTTGGTGTTATGTTAATCAGAACGAGACTGAGTTTTGCGATGTACCACCATGTTTTCATAAAGGTAAGATATCTCTCTCTATACTTGTTTATTAGAACAATAGAAGTTTCTACTGTAAGAATTTACTTATGAATTATTCATTATTAATTCTGTATTTGTACGGGG